GTTTTGTACCATGAAAAGACAGGTCGAGTTCGATGATGAGCATTCTAGCTCAAAAATTGGATTTTTAAAAAATCAAAAACAACGGGTCCCAAAATGACGTTTTTTAAAAATATTTTTTTTATGGTTTCCTAAGGGGTAACTCATCAAAGTAGAGCCCTTTGGGCGAAAATTTTGTCCGTTTTCCTCTAGCTCCAACTGGGGGCGAAAATTTTGTCCGTTTTCCTCTAGCTCCAACTGGTTAGGCGCTAGAGGATTTTTTTTGACGAAAATAATGGAAAAAAATGTACAACCATGCATGCTTAGTCCAAGTGACGGGCTGTTGACGGGCCGTAGGCCCGTATCTTTGTCTGCATTTTTGCACTACCCGACTCGGGTGTCAGCGCCGCAGGCCAAGGTAGATGTATGCCAGGCGCGTCACAGCTTAACAGTGTTTCGTGAGATATCGCGAAGCCTGTTACGCGAGACGTGGTCTGGCGTACATCTACCTTGTGATATTATGGCTCCCACCATACAACTTACTCGTAATTTCTCCAAGTGACGTTCACAGTACTCGTATGACCGAAATGATAATTGATAACATTTCCATCGCTTTGTCACTCTCTTACCTAGACATGTTTGTTGCCAGCTGAGTAGTAGAATGATGTGGAGGGATTAGAGGAACAAGAAAGACTGCCAAGTTTTCACCTTCTTTTATTGTTGCATATTTATTTTACTTGATAGCATGTCATGATGAATATACACTGGAAATGCAAGTGTGTGAATGTCGCTCACCTGCAGGTGAGGAACAATTCACACCTTTAACCCGCTAAGTGTACGAATGGAATGTCGCTCACCTGCAGGTGAGCGACATTCATTCATTTGCATTTCCAGTGTAGGTAAGGTGAAGTTGAAAGCATTATGAAAAGACAGACACTAAGAACTCCAAATGTCGACTAGACAGCGATAAACGAGCCGTGAGAGGTAGTACAAGGGCCTGAAATAAATAAAGATTGAATGACTTGTAAACATAAGAGGTTAAATTCATACGTTAAATGCTTTGTCAAGCACAATAAACATATGTTTCTAGCAGGCTAAAGCTTTTAGCAAATCCAAATGCTCTTACCATCAACGAATGAAAGGCGACCAGGTCGAAAAGGCGAAAGAACCGGACGCAAGAAATAATAAACTAATATTTTTTCACAAAAGCAGACGGATCACAGGGCTTCTTGGCCATCTTGGTTTTCAAACACTCGGCTGCGGTGCGGGAACAGCCGAACTCGTCGTCGGGTGCAGTGTGAAAAATTTCTCGGCCCTCCAGAATACTTTTTTAATATTTTACAATATTTTATTATATTTTAATATTTTATTCAATAACTATTTAAAAAATAATAAAATATTCAGGGGGGACCTTCCGGTGAGGGGACCTTCCGCACGTTTCCCTTGCCAACACTTGCTATTCATAGAATTGTTTTATGTTTCAGGTAGGAGAGCTGCTGAAATACTATGCCTTTCAACCCCTCTGTGTCACCTAGTGTAACTTCCTTACGGTAAGGTTCATTTGAATCTCATGATCCTCAGATATGTCATGCAACAAAATAAAAAGTAACAGATTGTTTTATTTTGTCTACAGGTTCCACCTGAGTTTTCAACATTGTATGTTCTTTTACTCAAAGAATTTTGACATATTGATATATCAAAGGGAATTTGTAATAATGATAATAAAATAATGAAAACATATCCAAGGAAAACTTTTAATCAAAATTAACGTTTTGCATTGGTCCTTAGAGTAAAACAAGTAGTTAACACAATCATTGAAGACTTATTAAAGTCAGTATACATGTAAAACCAACCTTCAAGGTACTCTAATCAGAAAAGTTCTGCTAGGAAACAAATAAAACAAATTATGCAAAGCAATATGATTAAGCACATTTTAAGTTCTAATGGAAACAAAATATGAAAGAAAAAACTCAAACATTTTTCACATGGTGATCACAGACAATAAGGTAAAACCTTTCTGTGAGGCATTCAGCTTCAGTTGGTTTAAGTAAAAAAGAAAACTTGTTATGTTTGATTATTCTAGGAGCAACTATTCTATAAGCCACTAATATCCTAGACGAGAAATTAGGAACAAATAAAATGCTCTTTAAACTAAAAAATAAATCTTGTTAGGTATGATTATTCTAAAAGTAACGCTTCCTACGCTACCCCCAGACTAGAAAATAGGAACAGATAAAATTCTATTCAAACAAAAAAAGAAATCTTCTAAGGAATGATTATTCTAAGAGTAACTCTTCCTAAGCTACCCCCAGACTAGAAAATAGGAACTGATAAAATTCTATTTAAACAAAAAAAGAAATCTTGGAAGGAATGATTATTCTAGGAGTGACTCTTCCTGAGCTACCCCCAGACTAGAAAATAGGAACAGATAAAATTCTGTTTAAACTTAAAAATTGAACTTGTTAGGTATGATTATACTAGGAGTAACACTTCCAAAGCTACCTATATCCCAGACTAGAAAATAGGAACAAATAAAATGATAAATCACAGAGTAAACTAAAATTAGAGGACAACATGATGCAGAAAATTTAGTCTGATTAAAATAGACTAAAAATAAAAGTGCAACATGATGCAGCAAAATGGAGTCTAATTAAAATAGATAAACCTATAGATTAGGTTAAAGCAAGAAGATAATCTAAACGGTCATGTGGAACTGGTCCCTGCAGAAGTCAAGAAATTTCTCATTTCTTGACACATAACTTTTTATTTTAATGGGGCCCAGAATGCACGCTGAAAGAAATAATATTGGCATTTTATTGGGAGTTCTAAAAGTTAGGTGAAACACCCAATACGTTGCAAGGAGGAGCAGAAGTGCTTCGATCGGGTCTTCAGAGTTGAAGATTGGCTCAGTGTCACAATACGCAAAGAAACTGCATTTTCCCAATGCAGCACCAATGCCAGAGATCCTTAGAGGGTCTCTCAGAGAAGGCTTGGCCTCTGCCAGAGGAGTGTTTTCCTAAGAAAAAGAGAAAGAATAAAAATAGTTTCAAAGCACTACATTTAAGTAGTTCTGAGAAGATACAAAACTGTAAAAAATGGGACAAGGAATAATATGTAATGGAAATTTACTGGGGAAAAACTATCTCCTAGGACTAGTTTACTGCCTAACATAAGAGGCATTAACTTACAGGGAATATTTCCAGAACTCTGCAAGCCCGAACTTCAAGCTCATTGTTGTTCGGCTTAGTCCTTTTTTGGAACAGATGTAACCTGTGTATGTTTTCTAGCACCATAACAGTTTGCTGCTCTAAAAAGTGGATGGATAACAAATACTAAGTGAAAACTTATGAACTGTAGTGAACACACAAATGGCAGTAATGGTTTAACCAATACTTACCAACTGAGAAGTTATCTCCAATATTATATATTGAATGTTCTCTAATATATTTAGTGATAAGAGGCAGCTTCTCCAGCCAGTTTCTCCTCATAACGGAAACAGCAATTTTCACGTCATCCATTTCAGAGAACTCCGATAACAACTGATTGTGAAAAGAAAGATAAAAAAAAATCAATTCTAAGTACTTCAGCAATGTAAAAATGTCACAGTTTAATTGTTTACTTTACCAATTGAGGGATGGTCAGAGCAGGGTAGTTGATGAACATGTCAAGCGACTTGCATTTCTGAGCCTCTTTGTTCCGCCTGCTCCGCGTAGCTACAAGATAAGGGGCCATCACAGTAACACTACGCTTATTGGCTGCCCAATCAACAACCATGGCCTCCTGCGCCTCCTTCTCACTTAAAGCAGCTGTAGGTGGTTTACTTGAACGCCGTTTGGAAGTTGGATGGTTCATCCTATTCCTTGTCCTGATAAGTTTCTTGTGCAAAGCTACCGCCCAGAGAGAAATTTTAGTGGAAAAGACGTGGAATCGACGTGGTGTTAGACGTGGAAAACACGTGATGAATTCACGTGTTATCCACGTGAATTTGACTATCTCATCCACGATTTATCGACGTGTTGATCACGTCGATTCCACGTGACGTCGACGTAAATGTCTCCACGTACAAATGTCCTACATGCCGATCTGAATCTCAAATTTAGGTATAACTCTGCAATTTATATAGTTAGGTAAAGGGTAAGCAGTACAGAGAGAAACAGTTTCTTTGAGTAGAATGTTGACTTTATTTGATGAAACATGAAAACAATAACACAAAGAAATAAATCCTAATCTTTAAAACAAATATAACAATGACTGGATGCAACACAACTTAAAGAAAAACATAAACAGTCTTTTCTCTGCGTATATCAGCCAGTTTTTAATGACTTCTTCAGCAGAAGGTACTACCCCTGCTACCTCCTTATTGCAATATACCAAAGCACCTGAAAATAAATCAAACTAAATTACTATGAATATGGAGGCAATATTGTTATAAAAAGTGGTTAGACTTTTTATAACAACCATTTGAATTTGAAAAAGTAACGACAAGAATATAATTTCAAAAACACACTCTATCAGAGAGACAAGCCTTCCAACGTAACCTCATCTAGAGTTCAAAACAATGCACTGACAATAACACTGTGTAACAACAGTAGAAAAGTTCGGTGAAAAACACAAACAAATTTTGAGTTGTAGTGTAATAATTTTTTTCTTCAGGCTTCAAGTCATTCTTGAGAGGTTAAGTAAGATAACCTAAACCAAACTAACCTAGTCTATACTTCGCCCACAATACAAGACAGAGATTGGATATCTTTTCTCGACTATAAATCCATTTAACCGAATCACGCTGAGAAATTTGAAGTTGGGACCTTCCTTAACTTCCGACTTTGATTAACGGCAGCAGTTCTGGTGCAGTTTCTTGTGCCTCTATATCACTAAACGTCCACGGAAGACAAAACCTACACGACAAGAAATTACTAACAAGACTGACAATGCGATAATACAAAGAGGAAACGTAAAAAAATGATATTCACTTACGCTTGTTTAATGTTTTGTAGTAATTTGTAGTAAAAGACCACAGACACGATACGACATTTCGAATGTAAACAACGTACGGTGCCTTCTTTTTTCCGTTCGAAACGAGACTCTCTGTGGTGTCGTGGCGGAATATTTTGAAAGGAGTTCTGTCAAGAACACTTCCTAAGTATTCTTGGATGAAGATGACAAATGAAAAGCGTGTGCTCTGTCACAGAATAAATGTCTAACAGTTTCGTTGGCGCTGTTTTAAAGTGAGCAGCATAGGTATTTGAGACGAACTGGTACGAGCAACTAAATCAAGGGTTTCGAGGCAACCGACGTGAAATAAACGTGGAATCGACGTGTACACGACAAACGAACTGATACACGTCGATTCGACGTGGATTCCACGTCGAATTGACAATATACTGAAATATGGCGTTCAGAACAATAAAAATCCCATTTAGTGAGAAATGTTGATGCAAAATTGGTTTCTTCTGATTTTATTGGCATCTTTTTAGAAAGGTAAATAGTGGTGGATATCTCGTGGATGTATCCACCACCACGAAAAGTCCACGGAACCACGTGGAACCCACGTCTTTTCCACGACCTATTTCTCTCTGGGACCTACAGTGAAATGAGGGTAATTTAAGGCATCAGTATAAAATAATTTTTTAAATTCAAATAGTAGTATTTGAGACCAAGTTTAAAAAAATGAAATTGCTGAGGAAACTTACACCATCGGGGTCAGTCCTTTTCTTCATTGGAGAATACTTCTTTCTTATTTGGCTTGCTGCTTTTGCCAAATGTTTATTGGAAACTTTTTTTTTCCTCTAAACATTTTTTAACCACAGCTCTGCAAATTGCACTTCTGTGCCTAGCCTCTAAACGCTTTTCCTTAAGAGCTTCTTCAACATAATCAGGAAAAACAGCCGGCATCGGTATGTCCTCTGAGGAAATCTATTGAAACACAACAACTTATATAAGAACACTGCATACTTTTTGAACCATAGGAACAAAGGAAAAACAAAATGAACCATTTACCTCCTCTTCAGTATTAGTATTAGTAAGAAAATTCTCAAGCAAATTTTCTTGAGGATTCAAGGTAATAACAGAACTTCCACAAGAAACCTACAAATGCAAAAAAAAAAAAAAAACAATCTCTTTATTAACTAGTTTGTAGTGGCATTCAAAAAATTATACTTATTGTTTAAATAGTAAGATAGAATATGAGAGAAGAAAGATCCTTCTAATAACTAATAACTGAATTTGAACTTAAGCTGAAATCTGTTCTTTCTAAATTCGATTAAGACTGTGCGAGACATTGACTTAGTTCAAAACCATAAATCTTGGTTTAAAGACAAAAGTAAATTAGATTTTAAATCATTGGGACAAATCTGAAATATTTTTGGTATGATGTTGATGGTTTGAGAGAGTAATTAATAATTACCATGATTTCTCCACTGAGCAAAATAGATTTGATAACTATTTCTACATATCAACTTACTTGATCACCTTGACTCGCAACAGATGATTTTGGGAAGTCTGAATCATGAGGTACCGAAACAACATACCGTGGCTAAAAGAAAACATGAAATATTGAAAAGCAAAGATTGTTGATTTCTGCAATAAAAACATGTCCTCACTACTTAATAACCAATTCATTTACCTGAGATGTGTTGATTGATGTCGGCAGTTGTTTTCTTGGGGTTATTGCCACAAACACAACACTTGTTTCAGACTCTATCTGGAGGTGCTGTGTTACAGGTATGGGGTGATGAAGATTTCTATAAAAGAGAGAGTAAAGATAAACAAATACCTTGAAATAAGGAACAAAGCAGCAGGAAGGATTAATACATCAACTTACCCCACAGGCGCATGAGAAGGAGCTGGACACTCACAATATGCACAAGCAGCGCGTCCAGTATTTGGATTATACTCATACTCTAAGCACTGATCACATTTAGAACACTTTCCACGCACCACATCTCTAGGGTCCTTGTTTGTTTTGACACCTGACGCTGTCCCAGACTCCATGTCCATTTTGACACCTGAAAGACAATTTTAAAATGATAACTGCTGCATTTTAAGTTTAATACATCATAAACAGTAAAAAGTAAAAATTCCAAAATAAAAAGTTTGCTCTAGTAGCACACAAAGGTTGAATAAGCAAAACCTTCCATTTTAATTGCTAGTCCCAGATCAATATCTATATTAGATCATATTTGAGATGATAAACCCCCGAATCTACTTATTCAACACTAAAAAAAGGTTAAATTGCCAAGGTCCATGCAATACTCACATTTAGAAGCTACCCTTAATATTATACTTGGTCACAATCCATTGCTTGCCCACCATTTCATGCGAGTGAAAAACTGAATGACCAATCAGTTGCTCAGGCTTCAATGCAATTAAAGTATCGGTTAGTTGGATTTCAAATGCATTCATGTGTGGGTTGAAACACAATGAGTTTGCCCTCTGACATATGAAGATTAATTGCGGCCAGACAATAACTGATTTCACAAGTGCAAATGTTGGCAAAAAGTCTTGGCATTCAAATGCCAGAAAGCATCTACCCGGAATCACTGTAAGGCCCTCATGAGTCACCCAATTGGATTCAATAACATATTCTGAACCAGTTAACAGATGATTATAGCATCTATCTTTGAGCTTTAATTTAGTAGAGGGTCCATACTTGGTGACTGGAATTAAACTTCCTGACAGCAACACAGCCTGGTCCAAAGCATACGACATTGCCAGTGATACTTCAATATTGATGTAGTTTCCGAGCGAGTAAGCTTTCCTCTTGAATTGGCGGTGAAATGCCTCCATTCGCATGCAGGAGTAGAGTGCCAAAGACCCGTTTTCCAGGATTAACCGGGGATAATGGGTTAAAAAATGCTGCTTTGGAATCAGTTCTCGATATAAATCTATAAAGCCAGTCAGATATTGTTCAATAATGTCAGATAGTTCTTCAATTTCATGGCGACAAACTTCAGGAGAATATACAATTTTACATAACTGAATCAGGAGGAGAAAGTTCTCCCAGTGAGGATCATCAGCTGCAACATGTGGACCCAATATCAATGGTAACATCATGGCTAGTTGACACATTTGAGACGAGTTCTGGTGCAACTTGCTATCTTTATCTTCCACATGATTCTTTCTTATCAATGACGGTTTACTAGAACTTTCTGAATATTCATAATCAAAATCAGAAAGGACCTCATTCAACCAGTCAAGGGTCATGACAGGGTTCTCACCAGATAATAAGTAAGCGATCAGATTGCAGACTTGAATATTTAAACAGCCCTCGTTCAAATCGTGCATGGTTTCTGCCACAACTGAACCAATTACATGAAAAGTTTCCAGTTCATTTAGAGAGCAGCCACGGTTGATACCAAACTCGGTGCTTAGTTCTTCTCGTTTCTTTTTTGTTTTGGCTGCTGACATTTCATTTACCTGACTATCATGATCTGCAGTTGTTCGTAGAAGGTCCTCTTTCTCAGTTGTCAGGGAGTGAAGCTGGTCGGGGTCGGCCATACAATGATGGCAAGTGCGAAAAGCTGTAAATCCCTCCTTGAATCCACACACTCCGTGAATTCCAAGGTTATCACCGATAACTGATATCAAAGATCCATGTATGACATTTCCACTTCTCAAACGGATGCCTTTTTCCAGCTTTTTAAGGTCCTTCAGAATTGGTTTCATTACTACATCAAAACCAACATCCTTAGTAGTATTTGCGTTGCATAGTGCAACAAGACAAATAAAATCCAAGTTTGAACTGTAGCGAGAATGAATATTTTCAAAGGTTAAATAGAATTCACCAATTTTGTGAAGACCAGCTTTAGATGCAATGGCATCACAAGGATCAAATTCATCAAAGTACAATTGTAACCTGAGAGCTCTTGGATGCTTCCTAAAAAATGCACTTTTCTTGAATCTTTCACCCTTTGAGAAGGAATCTAAAACATTTTCATCAGGATCAAATAAGGAAGAATCAGTCACTTTCTCAAAATCAGGATGCTCTACAAGTTTCTCAATGTAACTTAAAATAGGGTTGTAAAGTACACTATTCTCAACAAACATATTTTTTCTTGCACCAGTTTTCCGTTCCCTTTTCCTTTTCAAATGACGCCCAACAAAAAATCTCAATGGCCGCACCACATTTAATTTCTTTTGAAAAAAATTGTCTTGCTTCCATTTTGTTTCGATTCCAGTAAATACTTTGGTGCAATTAGCAACTGTTTCTTCCACATTTATTACAGTGCTAACATCTATATTTTTAGCTGCAAGTTTAGCAGAAACAGTATCCACAACTTTGAGAACCTGACTTCGAACTAGAGACTCACATTTGTCAACAATCCCTGCAATGGCACTCTGGGGTACAGTACACTTTGACCTCAAAAAGAGCAAGAGGTCAGAAGCATCTGAATTAACATTGCTTATGCCTACATCATGTGACTGTTTTGATTCATTAGAAGCAACACTTATCAATTCGTCATCTTCTTCATCAGATACATCTTCATAGTCATTGGCATCAAAATCTTCACATTCAGTATCCTCTTGCTCTTGACATACATCAGGATTTGACGGGGCTGGAAATTGGTCACGGTCAGAGTGCTCTGCTTTTTGACGCACTTCAACATTCGGGGGATTCTGAATTTGTGGGTCGGGAGTTGCAATAGAACTTACAGTTGCAGGAATGGATGTTGGAGTGAAAGATGCATCACAAACATCAATGTTAATATCTCTTTCAGAAACAAGCATGCTCTCTTCAACAGAAGCAGGTTGGCTTAATTGACACATCGTGAACTTGCAGAACACTATCTTGATCGGGGATGGGAGGAGGCAAATTGTCACCTCGGCAATCTGCTCCAGGCAGAGTTGATTGGGATGGCAATGTTGAGGAAGATGGCAATGATTCTTCTTTTGAAGCAACATAGTGCCATTTATAATAATGGTTCTTGATGGCAGACACAGATCTGAATACATTTGAACATGAATTCTCACCTCCTACAGTACACGTGAGATTTACACCTTTTTTGGACCGATGAAATGAATTAAGATGTGACCAAAAGGTTTCAAGACTGATAGTACTACTACATATTGGACACAACATGTTAGTTTGCTGAAACAACCAAAAAATGTTATGTGAGGAAAACAATAGGTACAACTACAGCCCCCAGCAAAATACCAAAATAAAAGTACGAACTACACAATCCCCAACAAAAGATAAACGGGAAATTTGATCACCCATTCCCCCCCAAAAAAATTCAAAGCTACGTGAGGACGGGAAACGAGCAAGGGCGGGAAACAAAATGAATATTGGTAATAATGCTTTCTAACCTAAATGGCGTACAAGAAAAAACGTAAATTTGACACTCAGCCCCCAGGGAGGCAACCCAAAACTACTGAAGCCGAATTAATACTCACGAATTATTGTTTTTTAAGTTAACCTAACTAGTAGGGAAAACACCATGGACTGGCACCGGGGATAAATTATCACGGGCAACAGGCCAAACTGGAATATTGTATCTGCACCTGCGTGAACACAAAAGAAATGACACCAATTAAAACAACGCATTGCTGATTGATTCACTCTCTGATGGAAATAACAACTATTATATTGTTTTCTAATTTTTGAATGAAACAAACAATTAATATATTGGGTGGAAGCCTAGCACACATTTGGATTTCACGAGACTCACCGTCAGGAGAGCGGAGTTGCCGCGCGGCAGTCGTGCCGTGCCGTGCCTACGCCTGTGGCGCGATCTGGCGACCCGAACCGAAAATCGGACGAATTAGTTTACGTTTTCGCCGCCCGCGCGCGGAGACGAGAAGCGGCACGGAGTATCGCCGTTTTTCGGTGCGCAACTGCTACGATTTTGTTCAATACCGTTTTTCGGTGCGATTCCTTTTTCGGAAGCAGTTTTCGGTGTCCGAAAATCGGTTTCTCTTTTAATAGTGCACTTCTGAAGTGCACGCGAAATCGCTAAGAAGGGGTTATTAGAGGTGGGTTGAACATAAAAGTGAGGAGAGTGCATCACTCAATTTATCTAAAAACATAAAGCGAGTTCGTTTGCAAAAGTTGGTACCATTGTTAGAAACCACGCCTCCTTTCTAACGAGGATTGTCGTAGCCACGCCCATTTCTAAACAAACTGTGCAGCTTTGATTTTAAACCGGTAGAAGTTGTGATTGGGATATCTTATGGCATCGATTAAAAGCTTGTTCGGTAGCTTAAAGAACGGTGCACAATCGGCTCGCTTACACTACCCTGTTTAAATCAATACTAACTGCACTATAAAACAAAACTCGAAGAATAAGCGTAAATGTCGCATATTACTCAGCTTGCTGTCGTTCTCGACTGGGACGTTGCACGAAAATTTTGAACACATCATTCGGAAGCTTAATGTTCGGTCTTGAATTTCTGTCTCATACGTTTTTCTGTTAAGTGGATAGATAAGCCGCAAGGATCGGCAAAAAGAATGATGTTGGCTTGGCAGGATTTTGCCGATTTTCATGATAATTTTGATATCTAACTTTAATTTTCTCAAAATTGGCCAGAAGGATTTTAATAAGGCTATAGTCAAATGAAATCTAATTTTTGGATTGATTTTTTGTTAAAATTTTATCAAAATCTGTATTACAGAAGTCGCGGTACCTTAATAGAAATGGCGGAAGAAAAAAAAAGCGCTCGCACGCGAGCAGGAAGGCCCCCTTGGGGAGGCCTAAAAAAAATCCCACTTCTTGGACCAACCCCTATTTCTTTGTTACCCCCTCATACCCACTCACTCAGGGTTTGCACCAACCATTTCGTTATCCAGAAGTGACAACAATAATACCCTGAAAACTCTAGTTCACTTCCTTCTTGGGAAACGGGCAGACAGACACAGAGGCGATGGCATAAGCTCGCCAATATAGCTTTTAAGCAAAAGAGCGGGCTAAAAACAGTGCAACAAATTCAGTTCAATTCAAGAGGCAGCTGCCTTATCGACACTTAAAACCTACAAACACGGCGTTCGTGGCGTTCCTGTATAAACCAGTAGTTGCAGGCAGCTCTGTACAGCCACCTAGTTCAGCGGGTCCCCGTACAACGTCGTCAGTGCTTAAAAGCCTCTTCTGGGATATAGTGTTCTAAAGTTTTGCATATTCATGGCGCCTATGGGCGCCCGGATTTTTAGGCCAGAATAACTTCTGAACTAATTGACATATCAACATGCGGTTTTCGCTAAACGATTGCCTTTTTGGTTCCTCTATCCGACGCACCTCATAACTAGAACTTTCCAAAAACATATTTACAACGTTGTACGGTGGCCTGCCGAACTCAGTGTTTACACGGAGCCGCCACGACACGAACTCCGTTTGTTAAGGTTTCAAGCGAGGGGGAAATCACTTGCGAAATAGTTCGTAACCTTCCCACGAAATCGCTTTTATTCAAGAAACGAGACGTCACATTCGTTTCAACGTGAATCTATGCATCAATTCCCCCTGGATTAGCTGAATTACGATAAAACGAATGTGACGCAATATTTAAACGAACGTGATACGATTCACAATAAAACATGACGTCACATTCGTTGAAAAACAGTGATGGTCCTAAATAAAGGCGAAATAGGGCGAAATAGCTCGTAAAATATCCTTGAAGTACTGTGAAGTACCCTTAAATAATCCGAAAAAGGCGAGAAATAATCGAAATGGCAACATAAATAGCACGAGTAATAAATAGTCCGTACGCTACGAACCCAAGTGATTTCCCCGTCGGTTTCAAGTGTCGTCCTAGGCTTTGGCCGTCCTGAGGGTTCAGCACCTAATGACCTCTTGGTGAATAAGGATTCCATCTCGCAATCGCTTCTGCCTCTCGGCTTGGATCTCCGCTGGCACGAAGGCCGCGTAGGCGGTAGGGTCGTCTTCGAGAGTAGTCAGCAGGCGCGTCAAATTGTCTATTTTGGCACCCAGGAGAAGGCTGAATGTCAAAATCATGGTGTCGAATACGGTAGTGTGGATGCCCGACACGAGGGCGGCGGCGATTGGCATGCAGCTGTAGAGAAGGAAGGTGAAGCTGTTTGTCGTGCGCAAAGATAGAGGGTCCCACTGAGGCACTGCCAAGTCCCCCTGGAGCTCGGCGCGCAGAAAGAAGTAGATGTACGTCACGTCTACCGACAGGAGAACCATGTAGTAACATCCTGTAGCCTGGCAAAAAAATATAAAACGTAAGGTTAAATGAAAGATAGCCTTATGGACATACGTGCTCATTTCTGAATGAAATATCTTCTACGCGCGTGGGGAGGGAAGGGGGGGGGGGGTCTACAACTCGTATAACCAAAAGTATACGACTTGTAATCATAGCTATTATCAACATAGCGTAGTAGCTCTAGTTGTCAGGTAGTCCTAGTCTTCCTTAGAAGTTTCCCGGGTGAAACGGTTTGTATACAACTCACTAAGAAATGTTATTACAATTTATAGACTTTTATAAAATTGAATATGCTTGTGTACACCGTAATATAACGGTATAAAGGGTGTTTTACAAATGTGTATAATATTTGGTAAAACTTTATACAATTATATACAGAGGCATGTATACGTTTTTATAAAATCTAATACAATGTATATACAATAAACGTGCCACATATAAAGCGACGTATAATAGAGCATCGTTGTACCTCACGCATGTATACAGCCACATACATGTGAATAAATGCCACCTTGCCCTACATTCGAATGTATACAGGCACATACACTCATAAAGTGAGTAGTAACGTTTCTGGGCACTCCCCTAAATGTAGGCAAAATGTGATTGAGTTCTAAAATGCAGCATAACTTGTAAACGGCTACACGTAGGGAAGTGAAACAACCACTATCGTGCTCAGGGCAAAAAGATGAATCGGGAAACATATTTGCTGAAAACGACAGCCACCCACTCAGGCCGCTTCTCCCGTGAGTAAATTGAAACGCTCAAGTACATATTGTATAATATTTTATAAAAATGTATACTGACAAAGTAATACAGCTTTACCAAATGTTATACAATTACCTTTATACAGCTTTATACAATTGCTTGTATACCTCTGTATACAAACTTACTGTCAATGTTTTTTCACCCGGGTTGTTTCTAACGACATATTTTCATATTGTTGAGATGTAGGGTACTTCCCGACCATGTGAGGGCACGCCTGACATGTTAAACATACATAAGCGTTTAGATGCACGGAAAAAAAGGAATAAGTTGTCACAACTAATAAATCAGCTAATTTTGGGATAGACAAGAAATTCGCTGTGGCAGCAAATAGTTGGTTGCCACAGAAGAGAGTTCGTTGCCACAGCGAAGCTGCCGCTGCAGGAGCCAATCGGTTCGTTCTGACAGCGAAACACCCAATCAGTAGTCAGAACGAACCGATTGGCTCCTGCAGCGACAGCTTCGCTGTGGCAACTAACTCTTGTCTGTAGCAACCAACTATTAGCTGCCACAGCAAATTTGGGATTAGCTATCCCAAAATCAGCTAATTTGTTAGTTGTGAGGACTAATTCTTTTTTTCCGTGTGATATCACAAAGTCACACACCAACCTCCAGGCTACCTAACATCGCCCAATATCGCCGTGTTACACTGGCAGGCCAAGCAAGCAAACCGGGCCCCCTGGCTAACGGGGTTGTGCCTGCCGAGTAGTGAAGTTGTGGAGTTGGGTATTTCGGGTAAGTGAAAAAGCGGAAACGGAACTGCCGAGCCGCTGCTGGATCCGTCTCAGCCTGCGAGCTGCGCATGCGCAGTAGACGCAGCCTCGCCCCGCCCTCTCCCCCTATCCCCCGCGCATCAGCAGCAAAAGATGCAACCAGCGGTGGACTGCACTGTAAAAAAATTTCTGGCGGTATTCTGTACCGTGGCGACTGAAACGCCTCATCCGGAGCGGTGGGTAGCCGAATTCTGCTCGCCATGGCGAGCAGATTTCACATCGCCAGTGGCGAGCAGAATTCCGACCGCCATTGGCGAGCCAGTGAAGCCAGCCGCATACAATTACAGGATTCTGTCACGTGGCGTCGGTGGGAGGCTTTGCTTCGCCACATTACAGGAAACTGTTGTGGCTGTCTGAGGAGTGCTTTGCCTCGCCATCTTACAGAAGTGTGTTGTGTGGCGATAGTAAGGTGCTTTGTCTCGCCATCTTACAGAAATCTGCTGTGTGGCAGTATAAAAGGTACTTTGCCTCGCCATAATACAGGATTTGGTAAAATGGCTATGAGAAGGAAGTTTCGCGAGAAGACGATTGATGCGATTAAAAAAAATCTTTAACAGGAGTTGAACCCGAGCCTTTCAGTTGTGGTTCTGTGACGTGACTCTCTACGCTACGACGCCGATGGAGGATGGGCATGCCTCGCTCCTATATAAGCTGCACGGAGCCTCGGGGTGGCGGTTCCACGGGGCAGCCAAGTGACGGGATACAGGTATATGGCGAAGCGAAGCATTCGCACCTCAGCCACTTTACAGAATACCACATTATGGCGAGGCAAGGGGGTTACTTCGCAGTGCGCAAGCAGATTTCCCTTCGCCATGGTTTACTGGATACCGCATTATGGCGAGGGTAAGGATACGCCACAATGTGGCGAGCAGATTTCCTGTCGCCATGGATAACTGAAGTCCACATTATGGCGAGGGGAAGAATACTCCATAGTCAAGCAAGTAGATTTCCCCTCGCCATGGCTGACTTTATCCCGCATTATGGCGAGGGAAAGGTTTCTTTTGCAGCCAAATACCCATTTCTGTAATTGTAGGCAGAATCAATGTAGCCAATGGCATACTGGATTCTTTCCATGGCGAACAAAAGGATCCTTCTGTTCGCCATTGGCGACCGAAAGCGGTTTACAGGAGTGGCGAACAGAATTCAGCAAGCCAATGGCGAACAGAATACTTCCTTATTTTTAGCCCGCCCTTCTGCTTTGAAAAAGCTATCCAGCGGGCTTATGCAAACGACCTC